AAACAAAAATTCATTGGCAGGGATCGGGGAGTGGTGAAGACACTCCCATTTTCCCACTGTCTTGACAAGGTCACAGTGAGGATAAGTGCTGGCAAAGCCGCACTGGTGGGAAACCGAAACCATGAGACCCTTTTTTGTGTAATTGGGACTTTTTACTTTCATGCTCATATTCCTTACAGGAAGCATGAGTATGCTTATTGCTAAACCAAATTAAATTTCAGATGGCTAGAACATAACAGGTAGTGCATGCCTTGAACTACTTCTCAGCATACTGAGGACAAAATAGAAGGCTGTTCTCCTATCTCAGTACATTTAGGACAAAACTGACAATTAACAATCATTTTCCGAAAGGTCATGAGAATTTTAGGTACCACACTGAATATCAACTAAGAACCCAGGCCCATATCTCTGGGCCTCTAGAAAGCCTAATTATTATGCTTATTGCACAAAGCCCACCATATGTAGTTTTATTTGATTACGGGAAAGTTATGTTATACACTTAGGAAAGCTAAGGCAAATAAAGATACATTCCCCCTTTTCTATAAATCCTCTTTACTTCATATAGGGACTTATGATAAGCATAGTTAATATTGGCGGTAAGTGGACTGATGTTCAGAACTTGCCTTTCAGTGAGAGAGATTACAAAGATATAAGAACTAGTGTACCTTGACTAAGAAAAAAAAGAAACTCTTTGAGAAAGTAGCTCAACCAGTTTTTTGAATAAATGTAGGAATTAATTAAAGTAGCTTTATAAGACACATTTTTAGAAAAATGTTAGAAATATTATTTTATTTAGATTCTTAAGTTTAGAATTCTTAAATTTTTAGCTGTATGGGTCCTTAAGATGCTTTGAGAATAGTTTATAGACTTTAGGATATTTTAAGTATAAGATTTAAGGGAAAACTAGGGATAACAGGAACATACCTCAATATTGTAAAAGCTATCTATGCTAAGCCTCAGGCTAGCATCATTCTGAACGGAGAAAAATTGAAGGCACTCCCTCTAAAATCTGGAACAAGACAGGGATGCCCTCTCTCACCACTTCTGTTCAACATAGTTCTCGAAACACTGGCCAGAGCAATTAGACAGACGAAAGAAATTAAAGGCATAAAAATAGGAAAAGAAGAACTTAAATTATCACTATTTGCAGGTGACATGATTCTATACCTAGCAGACCCAAAAGGGTCTACAAAGAAACTATTAGAGCTAATAAATGAATTCAGCAAAGTGGCAGGATATAAAATCAACACACATAAATCAAAGGCATTCCTGTATATCAGCGACAAATCCTCTGAAATGGAAATGAGGACAACCACTCCACTCACAATATCCTCAAAAAAAATAAAATACTTGGGAATCAATCTAACAAAAGAGGTGAAAGACTTATACAATGAAAACTACAGAACCCTAAAGAGAGAAATAGAAGAAGATCTTAGAAGATGGAAAAATATACCCTGTTCATGGATAGGCAGAACCAACATCATCAAAATGGCGATATTACCAAAAGTTCTCTATAGGTTTAATGCAATGCCAATCAAAATCCCAATGGCATTTCTTGTAGAAATAGATAAAGCAATCATGAAATTCATATGGAAAAATAAAAGACCCAGAATAGCAAAAACAACTCTAAGCAGGAAGTGTGAATCAGGCGGTATAGCGATACCAGACTTCAAACTATACTACAGAGCAATAGTAACAAAAACACCATGGTACTGGTACCAAAACAGGCGGGTGGACCAATGGTACAGAATAGAGGACACAGAAACCAATCCACAAAATTACAACTATCTTATATTTGATAAAGGGGCTAAAAGCATGCAATGGAGGAAGGATAGCATCTTCAACAAATGGTGCTGGGAAAACTGGAAATCCATATGCAACAAAATGAAACTGAATCCCTTTCTCTCGCCATGCACCAAATTTAACTCAAAATGGATCAAGGAGCTTGATATCAAATCAGAGACATGGCGTCTGATAGAAGAAAAAGTTGGCTCCGATCTACATACTGTGGGGTCGAGCTCCAAATTCCTCAACAGGACACCCATAGCACAAGAGTTAATAACTAGAATCAACAAATGGGACTTACTCAAACTAAAAAGTTTTTTCTCAGCAAAAGAAACAATAAGAGAGGTAAATAGGGAGCCTACATCCTGGGAACAAATCTTTACTCCTCACACTTCAGATAGAGCCCTAATATCCAGAGTATACAAAGAACTCAAAAAATTAGACAATAAGATAACAAACAACCCAATTAACAAATGGGTCAAGGACCTGAACAGACACTTCTCAGAGGAGGACATACAATCAATCAACAAGTACATGAAAAAATGCTCACCATCTCTAGCAGTCAGAGAAATGCAAATCAAAACCACCCTAAGATACCATCTCACTCCAGTAAGATTGGCAGCCATTATGAAGTCAAACAACAACAAGTGCTGGCGAGGATGTGGGGAAAAGGGTACACTTGTACATTGCTGGTGGGACTGCAAATTGGTGCGGCCAATTTGGAAAGCAGTATGGAGATTTCTTGGAAAGCTGGGAATGGAACCACCATTTGACCCAGCTATTCCCCTTCTTGGTCTATTCCCTAAAGACCTAAAAAGAGCATACTACAGGGACACTGCTACATCGATGTTCATAGCAGCACAATTCACAATAGCAAGACTGTGGAACCAACCTAGATGCCCTTCAATAGACGAATGGATAAAAAAAAGTGGCATTTATACACAATGGAGTATTACTCTGCATTAAAAAATGACAAAATCATAGAATTTGCAGGGAAATGGATGGCATTAGAGCAGATTATACTAAGTGAAGCTAGCCAATCCCAAAAAAACAAATGCCAAATGTCTTCTTTGATATAAGGAGAGTAACTAAGAACAGAGTAGGGACGAAGAGCATGAGAAGAAGATTAACATTAAACAGGGATGAGAGGTGGGAGGGAAAGGGAGAGAGAAGGGAAATTGCATGGAAATGGAAGGAGACCCTCAGGGTTATACAAAATTACGTACAAGAGGAAGTGAGGGGAAAGGGAAAAATAATACAAGGGGGAGAAATGAATTACAGTAGAGGGGGTAGAGAGAGAGAAGAGAAGAGAAGAGGGGAGGGGAGGGGAGGGGAGGGGAGGGGGGATAGTAGAGGATAGGAAAGACAGCAGAATACAACAGACACTAGTATGGCAATATGTAAATCAATGGATGTGTAACTGATGTGATTCTGCAATCTGTATATGGGGTAAAAATGGGAGTTCATAACCCACTTGAATCAAAGTGTGAAATATGATATGTCAAGAACTATGTAATGTTTTGAACAACCAACAATAAAAATTAAAAAAAAAAACAAGATAAAAAATCAGAAAAAAAAAAGATTTAAGGGGACTTCTTTAAATGGGGATCTTATATTAGAAATAAAGTACAGGTGTACTTTAAACTTAAAGATTAATGATAGGTTGGGAGACTTAGAGTCTGGTTACATAGTTTGGCATCTGTCAATAAGAAAATATAGTACATCTTGGGAAAATCTGAAAAATGCAAATTAGTGACACATTTTATTAATGATTTTGTACCCATAATGATTGTTAAGGAAATATCACATCCTGGGAAAATGTAAATTGATGACACATTTTTTCTATACCCATATGATTGCAAAGCGAATGTCACATCTCGGGGAAAATCTGGAAATTGCAAAAATCAATTATGTATTCTATTAATAATTCTGAACTCATAATGATGAGAAAAATTGTAATAAAAGATGACCCAGAGAAAGCTGCATTACAGCTCTCTCTCTCTGGAGATTGCTCCAAGAAAACGATTCCTGTCTCATTCCTTGCGCCAATGCCACTCATCCTTCAGGACCCCTTGGACCCTGCTGGGGCGGGACCCGGGCAGGGGAGGAGGAGGAGTCAGCACTGGATGAGGGAATGTTTTTATTCTTAAATATTAAGTCCTACTTTAAAAAAAGATATCTATACATTTATATGGTACAATACCCTGATGCTAAAACCTTATAAGGAACTTAATATCCTTTCCTGTAAAGCAACACAAAATTAGTCTGACAGTTTTTAATAAGGCAGGATATAAAACCTACAAACATTTAAAGTACAGTTTACATTTACCATCCACATTTAAACTATTCAAAAAGGTATGACTTTATTTGGGCGGGTGAGAGTTTAGTTCTTTAAAAATGAGCAAAAAAGAAAAGAAATTTCGAACAAAACCCGATTCTTGAAGCATTTGAGTTCTTCACAAATGACCCCTCAGTTGGCCAATGGATAAAGAGGGTGAAAAGGCAGGGCGGTGGAACTAAACCTTATCCCTATTGTTAGGAAACTAAGACCCAGCGAATCATCTCGGTTACTGTGACCAACTTAAAAGAGCAAGAGTCTCGGATTTTTGCGGTACACGAAAAATGTCAACCGTGGAAGAAAAATATCCGGGTTTCAAATACAAAGGAGACTCGGGTTTCAGTTTAAATCCCCACCAGGCATTTCGAAGACTGTCACTTCCCTGCGGTCCAGGGTAATACAGAACGCTGGAGTACCCTCTTAGGAGGAACTCGGAGCCACAGAGCATCTCTTCGTTCTAAAGCTGCTCCCGACCTTCCATCTTTAATAAAGGGTAGTTCTTTTACCTGTGGTATCGCTTTCGCTATGACATTCACGTACTGAGAAAGCTGCAGAACTGATGGAAACGCTAAATTGCGATTACGAAAGAGTCACCCAGACAGCGTATAAACAAGTCTTGATGTCAGGGGCCGGCCAGGCCTTCAAATCCTCAATGCTCAGGGTTGGCTTGGTATGCGCAACCGTCGGGAGTGTTGGCCAGGGTGACTCTCCCCCGCGCCCCGACTTCCCATGGTCTGCACACCTGGTCCCTGCAGACACCCGCAAAGGTTCTCCAAAGCCCCGCTACGCAGTCGGCCTCCCGACCCAGCTATCCCATCCGATGGCCCCGCTTCTCTCCCTGGAATACTCAGTTTCTTCCGGTTCCCCATCTACTCACAGAGGCTCGCGGAGCATAAGTTCCAGGGTGGCCGCGTCACTTTTCCCTTCTCGCGCAGCACTACTGCAAGCCACCAGCGACCAGCCCCATCCAACGGCCCGTAGGATTCAAATTCTCTCACTTCCGCCCACAACCCGGAAGGAGCGGTCGGCCCCGCCCCCCAGGGCAGAACCCGCGGGGCGCGGGCTGTGGGGTAGGGGCTATAGCGCCCCGGCTGTGTTGCTGGGTGCTGGTTCCGCTAGCCTTTCCGTTTGCGGCTTGTTGGCTTTTTCCAGTCTCTCTTCTTTTCAGGTTCTCAGAGAGGGCCGGGCGGTGGCTTCTGCCTGGTGACTCTTGAGCTGCTTGTTTCTAAAATGGATGGAAACGTGCTAAAGTTTCTTCGTCTTCAAGGAATGGGGAAAATGGGAGCACTACTGCGCCGGGAGGTTTTTACCTCTCCCCTCACCCTGGCGTAAACCGAAGCAGGAGCAGCCAGAGGAAAAAGGCAAACCTCCACGTACTCTGCACAGGTTTCCTTCGCCCTCCGGAACCGCGCCCGACAGCACCTCTAAACGCTTTCCATCCACTGCTTGAGGAAGACAAAAAAAGACAAGTTTGCCAGTCACCCCTCACCCGGCCACAAATTGAAAATAAGAGGTCAGAGCGGTTCCCGGTTCCAAACAAAATATATGAGAATAAATATTAGAAAGCAATAACTGTCCCCACCCCGTATAAAGGATCATTTTGCAAGACTATTACGTACCGTTCTGTAAGGTTCTTGGGACAGCAGTGTCCTATTTTTTAAACAAAGAACTGCATATTTTTTGATCCTAAAGGTCTTAAGCTTCTGAAGGGCTACGTCTGGGAGCTTTAAGAAATTAAAGAAAGAATTGAACATGCTTTTAGGGGGCGGGGTGGGAGAAAGAATCTTAACTCCAACCTTTGGGGTCTTGATTGATGGTGCCACCAGAGGGATCGTACTCACAGTTAATGGCGTTGATTTACCTAAACTGATGAGTTCAGACTGAGCCATGGCAGCAACATTTCTGTCTCTGTCAAAAATACAATCTGAAAGATTTGCTGGATTTTTAGGAATTTATCTTACAGATAATCTGACACAAGGAAGTATAAAGGTATTTATTGTATTGTTTTTAGCAATGGAAAATAAATAATCTGTGTCCACCAATAAGGAAATGGTTAAAGAAATAGTTAAGTAAGTTATATGTTAGGATTTGGCATACATTGCAGGCACGAAAAGTAACGATCAGTAGCTATTCAAATACTGGAAAAGGCGAGTTTTAGAATGACTACAGTATCCTGTAAATATATATCAGCATAAAAAATTTCAGGATAGATGCATAAAAAGTGTGAACAATTATTTACAGGAGTGGCAAATAGGGGTGGTAAGAGATGGAGGTTTTTTACTTTTCACTTTATAACCAGCCGAATTTCTTAAATAATAAGAATGTTTTACTTTTGGAATTTTGTTTTTAAATAAGATTGTTAGAAATTGAGTATATTCTGGAAACAGAATTCGATTTAATAAATGTATAAATTACAATGTTTGGATAGTCTGCGTTCATTCATCAATTCCTTCAATGATTGGACCACACATTTCATCATTCATGATATGTTGTATTATTCAGTGTTCCACATTTCTAATATGTCCCCATTAAACATATAACTTCTTGAAGTTGCTCAAAGACAGAAACTAAATCATATTTTCCTGTCTTTCATAATTCTTGGTACCTTCCCACCATTAAAGTTTCTTACTTCACAGGAATTAAATTCTCAAGTTGACCTGCAAGTAAAGTTAAATATTCTTAAATTGCCCTTGAAAAGCCCCGACAAAAATCACAAAATATTATATATTATATTGTATGTAATGACAATTATATAATTATTGTCTTTATATAACTATAGGCAAGATTCTAAAAATAATTGTTTCCTGTGTTCAATCCTTCCCTAGGACCTTTAATGAATTCTTCAATCTCTTCCACTAAAATGTTGATAAAGTCACCATCACCCAGCAGCCTAGCTATCAGTCAGGCTGAGATTAATTTCTTACCAACATTGAAGGACCCTATGTAGTGTCAATCATGTATATTTTAAAAAATATATTTTTAGTTATAGATCAACCTTTATTTTGTTTATTTAGTTTTATGTGGTGCTGAGGATTGAACCCAGGGCCTCACACACGCTAGGCAAGTGCTCTATCACTGAGCTACAACCCCAGCCTTCATTTGTATATATTTTCCCCCTAACATTATCCAGACTTAATTGTATAAATTGCCTATAACACTCATGCATTGAGTAGCATTTCCAGTTATTTACACTATTTAAACTTTTCTTTCTTCCCATCAGAGTTTAGTATAGGTAATTATAATAAGTAATGCTACAACATTTCATGAACAAAATAAAATCTTCAGTAAATATCCACCGACTACACCAAAGAGCTGGAGGAAACAGACTTATTTTTTATTTTTATTTTTGGTACTGAGGATTAAACCCAGGGACATTTTAGCCCTGAGCTACATCCCCATTCGTAAGTTTTGATTTGCTTAGGGCCTCATTAAGTTGCTGAGGCTGACCTCAAATTTGCTATCCTCCTGCCTCAGCCTCCCAAGTTGCTGGGATTATGGGTGTGTTCCACTATGTCTGGACAGACTTACACGTTTTTCTTAAAAAAATATATGTAAATATATATATATATATATATATATATATATATATATATTAGTTTTAGGTGGACACAATATCTTCATTTATTTATTTTTATGTGGTGCTGAGGATTAAACCCAGGGCCTCACATGTGCTAGGCAGCGCTCTACAGCCCCAGCCCCCAGACTTACACATTTTTTAAAGAAAATATTTGTATTGGACATACTAACAAATCTGGCCATCATCTGATAGGTAATAACATTTTTAAATTAAGTAAAATATACTTATATAAGTATTTCATCTAATAAAAGCTGCAAAACTGAAGAAGAAAAAGAATACAAAGATTTGTTTTAGTTTCTCATAACACCTCAGTAATCTGAACAAGCTGAGAACTGAATCCATAGACAATTTCAATCATAGCTAATTTAACTTTTCTCTTCCTTGTATTCCCCTTCTCATTCACTTCACATGTAGCAGAAAGCAAGACAAAAACATTTGTGGACCAACAGCCATCAGCTTAACATGCAAGAGCCAATACAAAATGCTTCAGCAGAAGAGCTCCAACAGTTTACCTTGAAAGATTCTTAGCACAACCAACATAAGTGACAAAAACAGTAAAAATTCCTAGAAAGAAATTTAAAGAATAATATAGGGCCTGACATTTTAAAAAATGTAATGGAGAATATAAGTGATTGTAATGTTCATAAAAAATAATTAGAATTGTTAAGATAGTTTAGGGGGAAAAAAAAGATTCACGAATGCTGAGGATAGATATTTTGTCTTACCACAAAGCTAAAGTAAAACTTGCCACAAAGCTAATACAAAGGTTAGTAGTCACACACAAACAATTGCACAAGCAAACCAACCAACAAAAGTCAAACAGATCAGACAAAAAAAGTATTAGCCTAAAAAGACAAATACAAGGAGTGGGGTCATACTAGGAAATCTGAGACAGGAGGATTGTAAATTTAAGGTCAGACTGAAAATAAAGTTAATAAAAAGAACTGGTAGATGTAGTTCAGTAGTAGAGCAGTTGCCTAGCATATGTGAAACCCTAGGTTAAATTCCCAGTATATATCACACACACATACACACATACACACACACACACACACACACACACAGACACGACAAATACATAGAGAATCTAGAATTAACTGTATAGGGAATATTAATGATACTAAAAGCTTGGTCCATGTCTCCTTTGACAATTCAATAATAAGGACAAGGTTTTGAGAAAAAGGAAAAAGAAATTTGATTGATTGGCTAGCTAATGAGAAACACAGGGGACTACTGTTCCAGAGGCTGTGATTCTTTCTTCTGAAGAGAAGAGAGAACTTCAGGGCTGAGATCCAAATATTGTCAGGAGATATAAAGTGTCCTTGAGAAAGTCATTGCTCCAGGTTTGGAGTTTCTTTATTCTTGTGGGCAGTGATATTCTTTTGAGGAGTGAAGGACACAATAGCTTAGCATGGAGTGGAAAAAATGTTAGTCTTGTTTCTCCTGTTGTGCGTGGGCCGCAGGAAGAAAAGAGGAAAAACAAAACAAAAATGTCAATTTAAAAATAAGCTACACGTGGGTGAGCAACAAGGTTTATAGTCAAAAGTACAAAGTGGACTCCTGTTACATTACATTAATATATTATAAAGGTGGCATTTCAGTTTCAGGAACAGGATAGTTTCATTTATAAATTGATCAATGCTGAAAATAATTGGCTGTTCACATGGAAAACACAAACTTAAGCTTCTACTTTGCACCATATACCAAAATAAAATTCTAGAAGGATTAAACAGTAACAAATAATTTATGTGCATATATGTATATATCCATATACTTATATATGAGATATATGAAAGAGAGAGACAAAAGAGAAAGGGGGGAAGAGAGAGAGAGAGAGAGACCAACTGAGAGAGTGTAGTGGCACCCTATCCTACACACACACACACACACACAAATCTTAACTAAGCTTCTCCAGAAATCTTCACCATAATTGATTTTAAGACTATAAGCAAAAGAGTCTCTACAAAAAAGTTCAATGTAGTTAAACTTCCTATTTTTATGTTGTCCTGTTTTACTTGGCCACTGGCCAGGAAGAAATCAACACTCCAGGTGCTGGACACCCCCTTACTAGTTTTTCACAAACATGCATCCACTATAGTATTTTGTAGAAATGTGTAAACAGGGCCTCTGGCCTTGAGCTGAGCTTCAAGATGTCTGAGATGTCTACATTTCTAAGATAAGAGAAGTTACCAATTGGGCTCCATGGTAACAGCTGGCAGGGGGAGGAAAGAAAGGGGAGAAGAAGCCTCCCCTTCTCAGGTATTGTCCTTGAAGGGTTAACTTGCCCAGAACAGTGAAAGAAAAAAACTACTTTTATGTGAACTTCTACAGACCGTGAGTTTCTGAGCCTCACCCCTTACATGCTGGGTATAAAA